AAAGATGAGCAGTCTTATAAAAATTATATCCCTAACCTATTTCCTACTCCTTGCAGAACAGCTGCTTCAATTTCAGAGTTGCTAGTACATTTAGATACAGCAACGTTGCCTGTGAAATGTTGCCCATTAAGTAGCAGATATGTGGGAGTAAAAAAATATGCTGTGATATTTTGCTCTTTAACAAATAGAAAACCACTTCAGTGATCTGATGCAAACTTTTTATGAGACAACCTTAAAAATTCTGTTCTATTTATGCTCAGAGATACCTATTTATCAGTGTTTCTATTTTGTTAGAATAAAACTAGCAAGAATGTGCATAAACTGCCCTCAACATCTGTAATGAACTGTTCTCTTAGCTCTTCACTCGCTCACAGGGAAATTTTCAATGACTTTTCATATACTGTCATTGGGATAATCCCCATTTTTGGATACATCTATTCTTAAAACCAAACAAACAAAAAACCAAACAAAAAACCAACCAAACAAAAAAAAACCCCCAACACCTTAGAGATCCAGAAAAAGTACTTCTGCCCTATTGTAAACCCAGTTTGTCTGGAGATGATTTGGGCGTTACTGTCCTGGAATGGAAGAAGGTTAAACTAAATTAATTTAAGACTCCTACATGTAAGCTGATCATCCAAACTGCAGACTGTGCCCAGTATTAGGAGTCTTCTGGAGTAATGGGCGTAGATGTTCTTGAGCAATGTCCCTGCCTCAGGGTGGGTGGGTGCCCTGGCTTTTTACTAGGTCAACTTTAAAAGCAAAAACTCTTTCAGTTCTATACTTTCTAGAAGCTGCTGTTAAGCAATAGTTCTGCATCACTTTAAGCTCTTTGAAACAAGAAACTGGGCATATGTTCTTACATGTAACTGATGAGGAATGAACATAAACTCATCCTTAATGTTGCTTGTGTCCACTATGTTACTGTGTCTATAACAGAGATTCAGTCCTTCTTGATACAAGAGTTTGTTCACGTTTACATGATTAAACACTTTAAGTATACATTCTCTCCAGGCCTAAATGTAGACAATTAGAGTGTATTTACTAGGTATTCATATTTGATCAGTTGGTTAGGGAAATGCAGAGTAACTCATTAGGCAGAATTTGTTATTTAGTCTTCCTACCTGTAGTTTAGCTTGAGAGGGAGGTTTTGGAGCTTCATGACTTAATTATTCACCAACCTGTTTTCCATCTGACAAAGAGGGGGAGGCATCTGCTCTGGTGTTCTATATTATAGTGTTTCACATTCATTTTTCTTAGTTCAACTATCATTAATCATAGGAAAGTCTCTTGGGAAAAAGGTTGGCAGAGGGAATTGCAAAGTTTATGCTCTGAGAGCTGTAGGTACTATATTATGCTTGCAACTCAATGTATAGAAACCAATAGATTTTCTCCCAGACAATTTGAGTGGTCAATGAGTTCAAGCAACCTGCTATAGTGATGGATAGTTTTGTGTGTTACAGAATTCTAGCTCGTGCAAAGAAGATAATTTTCAGTCTCGACCCTAGCTTGTTTTGGGAAGGATTTAGGGAACTCTGGGGGCAGAAATAGTGGAGGCAAAGTATCTGCAAATTGCAAGTCTCTCGCAGGCTTTTTTACTTTTTCCACAATTGTACGCCTTGTCAGTCCACCTCTTTCCATAAACCTAGCTGTAGTATTTTTGCTGCTTTAAGGGCAGAAGGATAGTTTCTGTACCTGACAAGTGTTATAAACCAAGACAACTGAGATGATGATAGGGGGTGTAGTACTGTTATTGCAGCATCATCTTTTCTATCTTTGCATGTATACCATCTTTTCTTCTCAAAGCTGTTTATGGTTTTCATAAGGAGAAGTCACAGAGTATTGGTCGCTTGAAGTTACAGGACAGGTCAAAAGTGTTCCTTTGAAGTTTAGTTACCTGACAGGTAATATATTCACATAAAGCCTCTCAGTGATGTAATAGTATAAAAACAATGTAAAAACAGAAAGCCAAGGAGCAAACTTTGCAATGCAGTGAAAATCGTAACGCTGCAGCTGATCCTTTGCTTCCAATTCATGTGTTGTACATGAATAGGCGTAATGGGATCCACTTGAAGAGCTCTGTAACTTGAAGCCAAAAGACACTGCACTTACCAGACCTTACACTGCTTCTGAAAGAGCTGTGCTACACCACAGTTTATAGTTAGGAAGAAATAGAAACATATCTGAGAGTTTCTGTATATAGACAAAGCTTGGACATGATTCTGCAATTCTTCAGTTTTTCTTAGTCAAGAAAGTAGTTCTTTTGGTCCTGAAAAAATTAACTTTATTAGTTTGCAGAATGGAAGGTCTAAGCTTAATCATTCTTTGAAACTGAATAACATTTGTGTTTTTTGGGGGAGCTATTAGGGATGTCTTAGCTGAATCCTGGTAATGAAGCTAAAATTAAGCAAGTAAACCAAAAGGCATTGTAAATGACAATTTGTATTTAATGTGCAAAATAAAAAGAAGTAAAACACTGAAGTAGTAAAAGGATGTTAAGGATTTGATGTAAACCTGCATGAAGCAAGGTAATTAAGTCAAGAAAAGGACATAAAACAGTTTGTAAAGAGATTGCAATTAAAGTGTCACTAGTACTATTTCTTTGTACTTAGAATAAGAAACAGCTATTGAATTTTAAATCCCAGTGGAGGTAAATGTAAAATTTATAGGTGACTACCATATGTGCAAACTATTTAAAGGGCTTATGATACTTCACAAATGGGGATAAATGGAAAGCATTTATTTTAAGATGTAGGCTGTGTTATCTGGTTCTTTGGGTCTGAAGAGAACTTTAGATAGTATAAAGTCTTCTGTAAGTTTTACTTGTTTACTTTTAGACTACAGCTCCTTTGTTACAAGTTTCTACTTCTCTTTTTCCACACAATCAATGCAGTAAATGTTCTAGATCTTTTTGCAGAGTAAAAGCTTATAAAATTAGGGTAGTATATATGCAAGCTATGCCTCCTTCAATTGACAGTGTTGAAACTTCCAACAAATCAGCAAAAAAGTTTGAAGTGGCACAAACAGTGATGGCAGGAGAGAAGGTGGAATGACACAGAAGCCATGTTACAGATTCTTCTACTGCTGTGTGTTCTTGCACACTGTATTTTCCACTCTGTAACTGGGAACTTACTATTCAATACGTGATTAAATACGTAAATACTTAGATTTCCATTGATTTAGTGATTGTTGCAGTTCAGAGCAAATTGTGAGGAATAGGAATTGTTATTTCTTGGAACCCAAGGCTTTATCAGGTGGTCAGACTTTGAAACCCCTTAGATAGCTACATTTTCAGATGGTGGATTTTCAAGTGAAGTGGAACAGGATTGGCAGGGATGCAGAGGAGGAAGCTATAACTGGTGTGCGTCAAGTGTGTGACCTGCAAACTAGGAGATACTGCTTTTTACATTATAGTAGTCCACGTTGATCCTAATAGATCTCGGAGTCCTTTGGACTTGCTACTGCATAAGGCTATTGAAAGAGATTGTTTCTGTGTTTTAGAAGCAAAATGGACATGAAGTATATGTTTCTCTGATGGGGAACTAAGATGTGGAGATGATGCAGCTAGTCTTGGAGCTGCAGAAAGTAATTAACAGAGCCAGAATGAAGATCAAGTTCTGTTCACAACTTCTATTCATGAGACTGACCTGATTGGTCATTTGAAGTTTGTGCTCTTGTCAGAAGAAAACGTTTTAACATTTCTGACCTTTTGTTTGATGCAAAAGTAACTAGTAATACAGTGTTAGTGCAAGAATTTTCATGGTGTGATGAGAAAAAGAGCAAATGACAAACTGAATCACCCGTAACCAATTTTCTCCGATTTCTAGCAAGGGAGTAAATTGACTCAGAAGTGACTGTTCATTCTGACAGCGACAACATCTACGTGCATGATATTTCCAACAGCCTTGGAGTCCAGTCATTCTGTATGAAAAGCATTTAAACAATAACAACCTAGATTTTTAGAAGACCATACTGACACCTCATCTGAAAGTTTTCTTTCTTTAATACTGTTCACTGATGCCAAGAGAAAGATACTGGCTTAAATACATTCTCCAGACTATTCAGTGATAAAAGTAATTTAAAGCAATGGAAAGTCAAGCTAGTAATGTGGGTTGTTAGTCTTCACCTTTTCTTAAAGTTGACTTGCTAAAGAGTCAGTTTCATTTTTTTTGTAGGATCTTAGGAATCAACTAGAGAAATTACATGGTGAAATGACTGAGAAAGAAAAAGCAGTTGAACATCATTACAATATTCTTTTGAGCGAAAGCAATCAGAAGTTGCGAAGCCAAGAACTAGTTATCAACCAGCTAACAGACAATGTCAATCAAAAGGATCTACTGCTTCAGGTAGGTAGACTTAAGTTGAAGTTAAAAATGGAAAGTTATCATTTGATTTTGTATGATGAATTATTACAAAATCACATTTATATTTGGAATTACTGTTGATTTTGACGATAATCCTTCACTTTTTATAATACTGTATTTGCAGAACAGACATATAATTATAGAGTGTGTGGCATTCAACGAGATTTCTTGTTAGGGTTTTGTGAAGTGTATGGACAGAGGAGGAGGAAAGCTTTACTAATACTTATGTAGAATTTTCACTGTTGTGGTAAGATACTTTAAAAGCTCTCAGGTGCCTATGATTTTCAGTTTATTGTGCAGAAACTGGAAGTTGAGGAATAGGTATAGATACTGAAAAATTTTATCTTCTTTTTTCTGGAGCCCATTCAAAATGACATGTGTGAGAAGGGAGCTGCCTGAATGTTAACAGACCCCTACTCAGTTTTTTTATAGCTGGAGGTATAACCCTGAAAAGTACTGATGGTATTCAACCAGCAATACGAACAATAATAGTTGAGATTGCTCTATACCTGGAGACCAAGGTGCATGCCTTGACTTATTTTTTAATACTTAAACGATTGGATAGCTGGGGAAAGCTTCTGTTTGATCTTTTTTTGCTTCGATCTTTTTTGCAAGGTATGTAAAGAACATGTGCTGGATCATCCTTTGGATATTCTCCTGAATTTTGTTTGTTTGTCTATTTTGCAATATAAAACTAGAGTGAACTTTGTAAAACTGTATCATTGTTTCCTTTTGCTAGAAACTTGATGGAACAGTTAAAGAAAAGGATGCAGAATTGCAGGAGTTCCTGCATAAGTACAAGAACCTTCTAAGAACTAATGAAGAACTTGAACTGAAAAATGAGGGTTTAGTAAAGGAACAACGTGCTGCACAGTCTCAACAGTCAATTGTCAAGATAGTCAGAGAGTTAGAGGTGAGTTTTTCATAACTGATCGTTAGCAGATAAATACCTTGACTTCAGATTGAAGAGAATTTTTACTTTGGCTTCAAAGGTGTGGACTCATATATGTTGTAACTCACCCACGTAGCAAGGAGCTGTTTTTCCTTCATATCAGTACCATATCAAAATGTTCTGTATTATTAAAAAGATAACAATGGCTTCATTAATAATTGTGTCTTGTATGATTGTGGTGGTATTGATCTGGCATCGTAAGAGTATATAGTATTGTACTGTGATGAGCTTATATGGCATCACTAAACTCTTTACTCTCAGAAAGCATGTAAAATATTTTGCCTGCCATAAAGAGGTAGAATTTTGTGGTCATTAGGGTAAACATATTTCCCTGAGTGGGAGGGCATCTGCATTTCTGAAGAGAGGTGCAGAGGAGAGTTTGTGTGCTTCTGATAGATAAGGGGAAAGATTGCCCAGAGTTAATGACTACAGGAGATAAATGGAGTGTGAGGATAAAAAATATAGGTAGGAGTGAAGATATGTCTTGGGCAAGAAGAAAACTAGTTTAAAGCAAAGAAGAAAGGAAATAGTGCAGAAAAAAAAATTATATAGATATATTTTAAAAGGTGGACAATATATACCCATTATTTTATTTGATGCCATAAATTGAAAGGGCTTGTTAATACCTGAAGTCAGAGGTCAAAATTCAAAGTCTTAAAACGTAGAGTTAGTTCCTTCCCCCTTCACCCCCCACTTCTGTACTAGCAAAAAAAAAGAAGTCAGGTACTGTTAAGAAGTTTTTGAATCACTTGCTGACTCCATCAGTGCATTTTTATTATTGTGTACAGATTATTGAACAAATAAGCTGCTTCTGAAGGTACATTTCTTGTCTCTTTTGTGTTGTTTGCAGTCTAGTATGTTAAGGTCTCCAAAAGCATCAGGCAAAGTAAAAAGAGTTAGACTAGTATGTACTAATGATGGAGAAAGCTATTTAGTTTCTTTAATAATATATCAGTCATTAATGAGATTTTCTCAAGGAAGTTTAAAACAAAGCGAGCCAACGGCAAAGGAAACATGAGTGCTATGTCTTGTGTCACATTGTGAACAGACTAGTGATTAGACGCTTAGTATGTTATGGGCACTATTATTAAACAAGGTAGATGCAAGCACATGTTGAGTCATGGGTTATATGACAAGCTCAGAGTAAAGGAGCTGCATTACTGTTTGCCAGGGTACCAGTTCAGAGTATATCAAAGTATATGTGAATATACATGCAGAGAAAATAAAGTCTGTGAAAGGTTGAGTAGAAATTCTACCTTTGTTAAACAAACTGCAGTGCGCGCACGTAGCTTCTGTCGCAAAGGGACCTAAGAGTGATGGAAAATCATACAGAATTAATGAAAATCAAGCACTAACTTTCCTCTGTGCACCCCACTTCCAATACAGGTATTAACCAGGAGAGAGAACAGTGGCAAGCGAAGCCATGCATGGTAATGACCCAGTACCCACCTTCTAATCACAATCTATTCTCTATTGCTGGTTCACTTAGTGATTGTGAACAATACCTAATCACAATCCATTGTCCTCTCAGCTCAGCCTCTGTGTAAGATATCTCCTGTAAGAACCCACTTTGGCATATTAATCATAAGTTTTTGGACACAGATTATCCAGAGCTCTGCTCTCATTGGCTGCCTGGACTCTTTGATGACTTTACAGTGCTGCACCAACTCTCAACAAATGCACAGCTGGATCCTCCCCACCAGAGAGAAGAGAAACCAAGCTCTTCTAGTCTCACTGATCTTTAAAGTTGAAGAAATGGAATTGAGACATGCAGAACTTTCTCTCTTTCATCATACCTTTTTACTTTATTTTAATGTAACGATAAATTTTAAAGCAACCAACATCCAAAGCGCTGCTGGGTGCCTTGGCCAGGCCAGGGAAGATAAATGACAGTTTCTAATTAGACTTTGGATTCTTGAGCCACTGTCATGGGCTAGAGAGAGAGTGTGCGAGGGCAGTGATAATTAGGTTAGTCATGCAACTGCTGACTCTGGTATCTATGAAGTCTCGGAATGAAATATATTTTACAGCTAAGGAATTTAGAAGTGCAATGGACTCCATATAATTTTGGAAACTTCAGTTGGTTTTATGCTAATGCTCTTCTCTCGCAACCAGTACTCCTATACATATAAAACTCTTTTTGTTAGAGCATTTGTTAGGTAAATATACTTCTAATACAGATTTTTAGACCCTTGTGGTTCATTTTATTACTGAGAAAAGCAGCAAAATTGAGGAAAGTGGCTCTTGTTCAGTCCTTGAGCTTCTGGGTTCTGTTATGTTGCACATGTAATCTTGCACGCAGTGTATACTGCAGTTAGGGACCACAGCGATACGAGTTTTAATTCTAAATTGATTTCTCTAAGTGTAAAAAAAATTCTTGGATTTGCTGTAATGTAGCTTTTCTGTGATGTCTTTTTGGGAGGGGGAGCTTATACACCAGTTGAGGATGGTGTAGGAAATGTAGTTCGCGGATACTTGGCAAGGCAAATCTGATGTTTCTGCAGACACAAGGCACTTTCTAATTCCTGTATGATCAGCACATTATTTGACTTTGATTATAATTAGTCCTGTATTTAGGGAGTTAATACTGTGCAGTCAGGGAACTGAAGAATACTGTGTGTGTACATTGTGATGTCTAATTTGCTGCAGCTGGAGAAATTATAGTCAATGCATGGAAGTTATTGATGTAGCTAGAGCATTGCAGTTGATGGGAGTTGTAAGAATTGGAATTGGTGCAATTGTTGCAGTACTGCAGACGTCTTCACGGGTGAAATTGATGTGTGCACGTTGTTGCTGAGTCGTCATGATTATGGAAAGTGAAGTAGTTGACTTTTTTTTTAATACAAGTGTCCTGTCTATTAAATAGTGATCAATGCATTGTAGTTGTTGCTTTCAGTCTCTTGAAATTGATGTTGTGAACACACAAACAAGGTGGTAGTTCAATTTCTGATTTGATGAGATAAGTTTATAGCTGAAAACAGCAATGTTTTTTGTCAATATCCACGTCTTCACACACTTCAAACATGATGCTTTTTACCTGTGACACTGAGCATGGCCTGGTGATGGGAATGGATGTGGTTGATGTATCTCACCATTTCAATATTAGCATAAATTTCATCTTAAAGGAGTTAGCCTGATGAAGTGATATTTGGAGTATATAGTCCAGTAGTCTTGCCTCGCATATCACCAAGAAGGGCCATAAGTTCCTCAGACCCATCAGCTTTGTGACATTTTCTGTGGTTGAGATGGCATCTTCTAAAAGTCACCCACAAAGTCTTTTGCTATAGTAATTTTAATCTTTAGAGATATGACTCAGTGGCCTATAACAATTTTAATCTTATTAGTGATTGCTTCATTTATGGTAGACCATACATAAAGTTTACTGCAATGTTAGAAGAAATTACCAAGTTCTGGTACTGGTGGATGGATGGATGGATGAATCAGTGATGAGGTGTAGGTTATGGCCTTCTCTCAGTCATTCATCCTCTAACCTTCAGAGATTTTGAAATGATCCCGATGGTTGTTGTAAGCAAGAGAGTGTTCAGTGAGGCAACTGGATATTCTTGTGACTTTGCCAATAAGTTATTTATTGTGGAGGTATAAACCTTTTACTTTCATTGCTTACACTCTGAGAAACCTTTAATGAAAATAAGTTATGTTTTCCACCACTGCTGCTTAGCAATAGTATTTCAGACTTAAATATAGACTTTAATGTATTAGATTGCCTCCTTTCATGGGAATATAAATCTTTCAATGCAATATGGTCCTGGATGTCTTGCAGCTATCTCCTCTAACACGTTTTCCCTCACACCATGTGTCAAGAGGTTTAATGTTTCATTAACTCCCACAGCATTATGGTCTATTTAAGTTACTGAGCTGCCTTATGTTTTGTGTACCGTTGGGGAGTTGATTGGAATAATTCACTCCTACGCTTTATTTAGAAATGACAGTAATAACGTACAAAAAAAAAAAAAACCCAGATATTCATGCTGCATCTTCTCATCCTTATTATTCATGAAAGATCCTGAAAAATCAAGAACATTTCTTCATGATTTTGCTAATCTCTACCTAGCTAGCTGAATTTTGATTTCATAATAATTTGTGTATAGTCTGTGACATTTGGAATTAAGAAACAGCTCATGTCTCCCATTATGCTGGAAAAAAAAAAGAGTTGGGAGGATTTCATGAGCTTACTGAGATTTTGGTGCAAATGTAGAACTAAAATAGTATGTGAATTCTAAAAGAAACATAGGAAACCGGAGCATGGTTCTGCGTTTAATGCTGCTTTGTTAATACAGCAGCGATAGACCCTGAACAATTGGTGACAACCGTTACCTAATTTCTGTACTGTAAACTCTTCAGAGTGACATTACTTTGCCAGTGCTTCAGAAAGAGCTTTTAATTAGGGTATAGTTCTGTAGTGTCTTCAGTAATAATTGCAAAGCTTGTATCAAACATATGGAAGAGTTCACTAGAACTTTTAACAGACTGTTAACCGACTAAAGTAACTCAAAAGATTTTTTTTCTTCCTGTTGCTTTCTATGTCATTGAACAGTGTTATTGTGATCAAACTTTTTCCAAGTTAAATTGCAATCTGGGTATTTTATGTTTAGTGAATGTTCTTGAAAGGCTGACATTCCAACACATTGATAAGGCTCCTTAATTCAGGCTGTAAGATGTACTTTTTTACATGGGTATTTTTGTGAGGTTTTTTTTTTTTATTAATGGACTCTGGATCACCCACCTCCCTCTGTGTTTCTCAGTACTCGGCAGAAACCATTGCTGTGTGCTCCTATTCTGCTCATCTAGGTAATAAACTTGATACGAAGCTCAGTATTTTGCACGTCATATACAGAATAGTATTTAATGTATAAATTGCACTAGAACCTGGAAACATTTGTTAGAATACAGCTACCATTAGGAATGATGGTAGATGAGCATGATGCATGTATACAAAGGCAAGGTCACTTCTTCAAAGAATCTGTAGCATTAGGTGGTAGAAGCTACTCTTTCTGCAGTAAGTTCTGACATGCAGATTACCTTAACGAGAGTAATTTGATCAAAACTTGATTACACTTGCAAAATATTATTTAACATATTTGCTAGCATACTGTGAAGTATGAGTGTAAATAATTAAAAGTAAACAACAGTTGTCCTTGCTTTTGTACTGTTTACTTTGCAGAGTAGTGAATTTTTCAAATTAACAGAGTCTTTGCATCGTTAATGTGAATTAACGAGATTCTACTGTAGCTGAATTTTTGTTGCAAGTCCTTCCTTAGGAATTGCAATTGGAGTAATAACAGCTGCTTAAAACTCCTGGGTGTAGATTTCTTCCTTGTTAACGATCTGTTCACTAATGATTTAGTATCTCTTGAGAGTTTAGTTTCCGATCTTGAGGTTGTAATATGGAGAAAATAGAATTGCCTTTCATTCTTGCTCTCCAGAGTTATCTTGTCATGCTAGAGCCATAAACATTCCCCCTTAGCTGTGGCACTGGTTTTGTTCTTCCTTTCAGTTTTCAGTTGAAAAAGAAAACTGAGAGAAGCAACGAGGCCTACTGTTCTTCTCAAACAGGCAGAATATATGTCTCTGACATTAATAGATCTAAATTTGCTATAGATATCCCAGTTATTTTCTCTTCTGAGACAGCTGATATCTTAGATATTTTTATGTAATAAGTGCAAGCAAATACTCCTTTAAATAGCTGCATTTTTTGCCTCCCGCTGAAAAAACTGGCTGTGTGGTAGTTTTGGAGTGAAAAAAGTCTTTGGAACTTAGTGGATCCTTACTGAGAATGTAGCATAAGAGTCTGGATTTATTCTAATAATAATAATAATACAACTTCTGTGAGCAAGACTGCAGGTAAACAATTTTCTATTCTTTGCACAAGTAAAGCAGCAGCTTGTAGTGACCCAGCTGAGTGTGCAGAAAGCTGACTCAACGAGTATCTGACACGTTCATCCTTTATTTGTTGGCTCGATACAGTCCTTTTTGTTCAGAAAAGGAACAGAATTTGCAGAAACCCCTCCCCCAAGGCAAGCCAATTTTATCCAGAATACAGAGAGGACTGTTAGGACGACGTTCTAAAATGTGTGCTTGGAGCTTGGGCTTCTCTATTTCCCCTTCCCTTCTCTGCCATCCCCGCCTCTGAAATAGGTACCTGTCAGGTTGTTCCTGGGTCATTAAGTTGTAAACTTTGGAAGTAAGGATGCGGGGAGGGGGGAAAAGCTTTTTAAACAGTGATAAAAATGATACAAATTATGAACCCGTGTTTAGATATGTGACTCACTTAGGAAAATAGTGAAACACTGTTTGCCTCCTTTAATAATAGCTGTTTTTAAGTATCATGAATAGTTTCCAGATTCATATTAGGCATTGGAGGTGGGCAGTCCTGTTCAGCAAATTTGGATTTCTACTTCTTTCACGTTTTCTTCAGGACACAAGTATACACATAGTTGTAGACATGCAAACTTAAAAATGACATTGTAAGCTTAGTATGTTCTGGTTTTAATTTAGGAAAATAAAGAAGCTGAATATGAAAAGCTGATCCTTGCTTTAAGAAAGGAACAAAATATTTATTCTACACTAGTGAAGACCTTCAAAGAATCAGATAGGTAAGTACTTTTTTCTATTTTGGTGGATAATCAAAACTCAAAGGGCAAATGTCAGAAGTTGTGAAAAAAGGTGCGGCTTAACTGGAGTGGTGATTATTTTGTACCGGCCAATTGTTCATAAGGCATAAACTAGCTGTAGTAGTCTCCTTAAGAAAACTATTTTTGTAAGTGGGGTTACATTATCTAAATTACTTAAATGTTTCTGAAAATATTTCTGTTTCGATTGGAATCTCATATGAGCCAGATTTCCATTTAGGTACCAAAAGAAGCAGCTAGATTTTCAGGAGGTACGTGTCCTGTGTTGGAATACAGGGAGAAATCAAATTGCAGTGAACTTTTGGGTGCTGGACAATTTGCCATGGTTTACTCCTAAAATACAGGTAATGCTTATCTTAAAAGTGGCACTGTGAGAATTTTGATGAGAATATAAACCAGTAAGATTTTTGAGAAGGTTAAACAAAACAGAATAATCAAAGCAAGCATAGTGTGCTTTCAGTGTAAAGCATTCAGAAGTATGGCAGGAGCAACTTTTTTTAACCTTTTAAAATCAAAGAACACAGCATTTTGGAACGAAATCTGTGGCCTATTTTGTATCCTATTATTGCTTGGCAGTTGAGGAGGAGACATTATGATAAAATAAAGAAAATTTGTAGCCGTTAAGTAAAATAAATTTAAATGTTTTATAAAAATATTACTTTTACTGTTATAATTACAAATATCTTAATTAGGTATTGGCAGCATTTAAGAGCTAGCTCCTGACTCTTCCTGCCTGAAGGCAATGGCTCGTACCTGCCAACTTTGTGGGAATGTGTGTTTGTATTGTGCGGTTGGTTTATATATCACTATAGTTTGGAAACCATAAAGTGAGTACCACTAAAGTAGATGAGATCTGGTATTTGCATTAAGTGCATTAATAGTAATGCCATCTTGTGCTTGGCCACAGCTCAGAAGCTCTTTTAGATACTAGAATCTTTTTCATTAGAAATAGTGATAGAAGTCAGATTATGGAGATTATTTCTTATCTCTGGCAAAAGTGCAATGGCTTTTGTGACTTTTCCATTGAACAATCACAAAATGAAGGAAGAAGTCAGTTTGTTTTAATATTTCATATGGAGGGTGTGACCTGCCATTGAAACTGATTCTGTGGGTAAGGTGATTGTCAACACTCTATGAAGTAATGACAAGAAAGTAATGCAGCTCTGATACTAGTTTTTCTTAGAATATATTTCAAATGAGGAAAATTGTAACTGTAGTAATAATCATTAGGGTAATAGGAGTTTTCCAGTTAACTTCTGTAGGATCAGGAGCAGGATCATTAGTTCTGTTTTGTTGATACGGAGTTATAGGATGCACAGAGCCGTGCATGTTACGCAGTGATTCGCAGAGGATGCGCAATGCTTCAACAATAAAGCTGGAAGTTGGAGGCAAGTCTTCTCATTTCTCCTCGTAGTTTTGTGGACTGAGATATGCTGTAAATCTCAACAAAGAAGACTTGAACCCCCAAAGTTCTGGGGAGCTGATAAAAAAGCCCTGCAGATGAATTCAGCTTCTGCATTTGTGTAATTGCCAACAGCAGTGACATGGATTTTAGGCAAACATCTGTTTTCTTGCTGACATATCTTCTTTTAGGCATTATTTAAAGCAACCTGGATGGTTATTTTTCAAAATAAGCTACCGGATGTCAGGACCAAGACATTTCTTGTCTCTCCAAGCAGGGAATCAGTGCTTTTTATTATAAAACCTTTAACTCATGGAAAGGAGAAAATATGCTTACTTAGCTTCTAGTAATCTGTTGGTTTGTTTTTATTCTTACGTTTTTGCTGAGCATTTAAGAGCTCTCTCTTCAAAGACATGAGTGAGGGAGAATTGGTTAAAGCAATAGTTTCTTGTGCAGCAAACACTGACAACAGCACAGTTGTCAGAAGACAGACTGAGAATCTTTTCATACATGCTGTCTTTTAATTAATGCATTTCTACAATATGCTGTTATTCTCATGCAAGTATGATGTGCTGTATGTTCCTGTATAGTCTCCTGCAAGATGGATTTAAATTTTTTTTTAAAGATTCCTGAATTCTCTGGCATTTAGTGCAGTGGATTGGAAATTCTACAGCAGCTTAATTTATCTGAAACCACTGAGGTTGAGTGAAGTAAATGTGAAAATAAATAATACAATGAGTTTGGTAACATCTTGTTATTTATTTGTTATTAAATCAAATTTATTTCATTTTATTACAATTTCAGTTTTTAGTGTACTTAAATCTTTTTACGGACCGATCAGAACTGTCTTGTCGATGTTGTTGAAGGGTATGGGGAAGATCTAGCAAGGGACAGCTAGAGGTGCTGACACTATAAGGCCTGAGGGACAGTGACTGATGCTAAAGTAAGAGCTTCAGTGGCCACCTTGGAAGAAAGCTACTTAAAGAATTAATTCTCATTGACAAATTATCGTTTGTAAGTTTTGGCATTTACACCCCATTGAGATAATTGAGACAATTTAGACCTTAAAAGGTCTTTTTACAGACTGTCGGATAAATGAAGAAATAAAACAGTTAGTTTTGTCTAGGTCATATTTTCAATAAAACACGATTTTTTATTTTTTTCTTAAGTGGACCATTAGATTATATAGTATAGTTCTGTAGCAAGGGGACAAAGTTTCCATGGTCACCATATAATGGAATACACAGAGCCATCAGTATTATGTGATAATGATATTTTTCTGGCATATTTTCAGAAGTTAGTAATTTTGATTTTCCTTAAAAAGAATTACACAGAAGTTGGCTGGTAGAATATATGTGTCATGTTTAAGCTGACTTACAAGCAGCACAGCTCACAACAGCAAGAAAAGGATGTATATGTAAAGATTTAGTCTCATCTTTCTATGTAGGGATTTGTTTATTCTTATGCATCAAAATGATGTAACTGTGTGATGAGAAACAGCGATGGCTAATGTGAATTGGGTTCTTTGTGGAAGCCCAGATGTATAAAAGAAGCTGAGGTGCACAACAAAATGTTTTGAATTGAATCTTGAAGATTTTCTTTCTCTTTTTTTTTTAGTATAAATAGCTTGCAAATGGAACTAAACAACATTTTTATGTTGCGAAAACAACTAGAAGAAGATGTTTTAGCTAATCGGAATCTGCAGAAGGTCTTAGAAGATCAGATTAAGGACATTAAAAACCGACAAGGTCTGTATACATGTGCAGCTCATCCCTTTCTTGATCTTCTTGTACAAAAGAAAACTGGTTTTATTACAGTCAGTTTGCTGGGATGGAGAAAAAACGTTTGAGAGTGTAAAAAGGTGTGAAAAACTTCTTTTTGGCTTTCTATACTGAAAATTATTTGCAGGATTTGTAACAGATTGTCTTTGAGTAATCAGAGAATATACAGAGGGACAGCTTTTCTTTTTCCATGCAGCAAATGTTAGTAATACTATGGCAATTGTACTACAGTGATTATTTCCAGCTGCCTACAATTTTGTACCCATAGAATTTACTGTTTTCTGCAGAAGTCAGAGATTCCTGGCTTTGAATAAATCTGTGACCATGGGATCACTTTCTGACCGTAGAATGTAATTATTTCACAATACTTCGGTAAAAAGCTTGTGTCTCAGGAAATGGCTAGACTCCTCCTAACAGAAGAAGTATTTTCAGAGACAGAAAAAATAGCCAGAGGTTTTGTTATTTTGTAATTCAGAAATAGTAGAGCTTTTAAATATAACTTTTCTTCTAGCTTTTTTATTGTACTACTTTGGAGGTGTTTATAGTGTATACTTAGATATAGAAAAAAAGAATATAAGTGGACATTGTTAAATATAGTTTACTGCATATGTACAGATGTATCTGTTTTATTCCATAGGGGATATATAAATAACAATAAAGCCCGTTCACTTACCCCTTTAAACTTAGATATTCAATTTTAGCATCACTCCCTTAACAGCTATGATAAGTGACAAAAGGTAAGCTTCTACCGTTTCAGTTTCCAACCTCAAAAGCACAGAGATTATGAACAACCAGGGTAGGCCAAAGGGTCTTGTGGATACTTCGGGGTTCTCAAGAGCAGTTGTGCTGATGGTGAGACTGCTCGGAATGAAGGCTCTGAAAATTAGTAATCCTTTGTGAAGCTTTGTGTCCTTGCAGCAGCCATGGGATCAGTGTCAGAGCTGGGAGTAGGATTTGGATGTTTCTTTTTGTCCTAATTTAGATATGCTTTCTCCCTATCTAATGAGCTATATTTATAGAATTAACTGTCATCTGTATTGTAAATGAACAGGTGTTTGTTGAAACATAACAAATCATTCCTGCAGTTATAGAGGAAATGAATAAGTAGCTATTTTCAATTCAATTAATGCAATCATTTGACCCAAAAGCAAAATAAGTTCAATAGCTTTGTCTAACCCGGCTTTTTTCCTGGAGACCTTGAGTTCATGTTCATAAAAATATAGTTAAAACAGAATAACTATTCGTGCCTTACTTATCCTTCCTAAAAATTATTTCTAATTGTAATGCTAAATATGCAAATTATAATTCAGAATTACATTCACAGCTCCTGCTGATAACCACAGAAAATACAGCATGTCTCTGTGTCAGCAGCACAAAGAAATATGAGGACAAAATTTGTTGAATTAAACAGAAAGCTTATTTTGGGGGATGAAACATTTTAACTGGCCTCCCACAGACTTACTAGTAGGTTCTTATTCGAAAAGTCCTGTCTTTGCATTTTATGCTGTGTTTTCCTGCAAATAGAGTTTCTGAAATAATTCCTGTCCTTGGTTATTTTGACAGATGAAACACTATCTTTCTGTGGAGATCAAACATCTTACATGAGTATCTGTTTAGGAGAGCAAGATCATTTAAGCCTACAGATAGACCATCTGTCTCTTGAAGAACTTAAGAAAAAGGTATAGATTTTTTTATTATTTACTGTTTCTAATGGCTTAATTCTACTTCGTTTATAGTTTGTGCATCTCTCACAAAAAGGTTTATTTAGGTACAGTTGGGTAGTTCTGAACGGATTTGAAGTACTCATCTCTGTGGTTTGTGATCCACCTTTTATGAACTATTTAGTCTTTGTTATACCACATGAGCTTCAGAATCAGCTGAAAGATAGGTGGCTTGCTGCAAACGTTTTTTCCTTCATCCCAGGATTTGCAAATCTTTTGGTAAATATGGCATGTTATAAAATAACCCTGAGGTAGGTTAATGTTGTCTCCATTTTACATAAGAAGAACTGAAATTCACAGAAATTAAACGTGCAGACCATTGTCATACAATAAATCAGTATCGGAGTTCAGAACTTGTCCTTCTGACTCCTTATCCTGTGCAGTGACCTCTGATCCATGCACCAATTTATGATAAGGAATTATTTTGAATATGGTCGCTTGGGAGTGAATGTACGTGAATTTTTGTGTTTCTCACGGCCCGCTGAATTGTAGACAGGTGTTCAAAGTCTGGAGGTGGGTGATCTGAAGGAAAGAAGTTTGCCTTATGCTGAACAGGTGTCAATAAAAAAAGCCCCAGATTGTGTCTCAATCCCACTCAGGGGTTATACCACTTTTATCTCTGAACATATTCCTTTCAGTAGGTTCAGGGACACTCATTAGCAAAGGAGGTTTATAAACCATTTCTTACCTGAAAAAGGGTTTGTATGCCTAAGAACTGACCTGTTTTTTTAAAATATATTAATTGGTCTAATACAAAGATTTTACCACCTTCTGCAAACATTGCCTTCTTGATATACCACATGAGTCTGTGACAGTAGTGTCTGTTCAAGAGTCTTAAATGTGATTGTCCATTTAGATTTTGTATCTGTGAAACTACTCAGAATGATAGTGGCTTATAAAGGGTGTTTGAGAGAGAACAGGTTGTTTTCTGAATGCTACTGTTTACCTGTAATATTGCTTTCCCTTGCACTAAACTGTTTCTTCTCAAATCAGCCTGTTGGTGTGAGGTGGCCTCAGGTTTCTTCTTGCTACTGAGTTGTGAAACTTGATACCGCAACTTAATAACATGGCTGGAAACTACAGTCTTACGATTTAAGATTTCTTGAACACTAACTCACAAATATATAATCATGTTTTTCATACATAGTGAGATTGCCTCATTAGCAGATATAGAAGTCCAGGCTTCCCAACTCTGTGGTTTAGATTTAGCTGGAGATTTATATATCGTCATTTGTTTTCATACTAGTATGGATGTTACTGGCTTTGCTTGTTCTTTCTTTGATTATTTAGGTTACTGACCTTCTCTTGATGGTTAAGGATCTGCAGTCAATTAATCAAGAACTTAAGAAAAAACAGCTTGGCCTTTGTACAACAGATTCTCAAGGGAAGGAAGCACTAAAAATATTAAACCACAGTGAGGTAGGTTTTCTGTGTTGAAGTAGTGAATCTGACTCTTACATCTAATATACCTTGTGGAGTCATTTACATCGGTGCAGAATGAGTGTAAAACCCTCGGGGCTTAGGTTGCTAATTCCTTATAATAACTTTTAAATTAATGTTGTAAACAACTTTAAGATGTTAGCACAACAGAATCAGTTCAGTGATGTGTCAAGTTGATTTTAAGGAAACAACTTACACATTAAAATATTAATTAGGTCTGTGATATATTTGTTTTGCCAATTGAAAGGGGAGGAAATAGTTAATTTTACAAAGAAAGCAATATCTTATATAACATTTTAGCTATTAGTGAATGTCTGCTTGTCTACTGTTCAAGAGTCATTCTCATGCTGTCTCTAATTCTGTAAGAGCTTAGTTTGTATCTCCTCTGCATCTACAAAACAACTAGGGTTCACCACGGCCAAAAAGAAATAGCACTTTGGGTTGCTTAAATGCATGGTTGTTCCTTCATATAGAATATAGAAGTATATGAAGAAGTGGCCAGCATTGTGATAGATTGCTGAGAAGTGCAAGGGAGTAATCATTGGCGGGTGTTTCATTCTTTTGCCCAAAGCTGACTGTTTTTAACTGTGGGGAAGAAGACATCTTGGCAAAATACTTCCACTGAGAAGCATTTTGGGTGCTCGGTCCCCATCTGTCGTATTATGTGTGAGTGATAAAGGATGTTCAGGAGGCTCTGGTAGATTCTAGTGAACCTTCTAGCTTGTTAAAAGTATACTTGAAATGTGGCTGGTAGTACTTTATATTGCGTTGTGGTTTTTGCTTTCAGTTACATTGTTCTTGTGCGCCACATTGAATCAGAAGGTAAAAATATAAAAGGAATAATGATGGTGGTAGTATTTTGTGTCTTGAATTTCTGAATTAAACTCAAAAAACCAAAAAATTAGGAACGGTTTGAATCAGTTGTGTATAGGGATTGCCTAATTCTAGAACTGATACTGTGGTATTGATGATTTTACTGCAGGACTCTGGAAAAAGGGTCATATCTTTTACCATATGTGCTGCAGATACACTGGGAGCAATCCTCAAAAGTCTTCAAATATTCTTGCTTTTTTCAGTTTTAAGCCATACTCATATTACCTTTAACTGAAATATGTTTTAAATTATAGATTGACCTTTAGGGGTGCCATGGCTTTTATTAAAATAATGAATTTACATGTTACTGTAATAGGTTTGCATGAAAAGCTTGTGGGCAATCTGTTTCAGAGTGCACGCACTTTCTAGAGATTAATACTAAGCAATTTGCCCGTCTTCCTGCAGAGGGTGCTGCACCCCCACTGATGCTGTAGTTAATACCAGAGGAATTCGTGTCCTGTGCTAAGGTTATCATGACAAGATACTGTGCGCTCCTGCATTTGTCTCAGCATGAAAAGTACATATAGGGCTACTTAAGAAGCTGTCTACGTGAAATTAGATGTAGAATGACAAAGAGCAAAGCTTGTGAAATGTAAATAAACCTCAAAAATCTGGTAAAGGAAATAGGAAAGTAAAATACGGTATGTTAACCTGTGCCAGAATGATAATAGTACTATGGAGCGCAAAAGTGAAAGGATCTGTAATTAAAAGAGTTTAGTTTAAAAGGTACCATTTTGTCAGTCTTGACAATAAATGGCAACCTGGATTTCGGGTTATGGATTGTGACAACTGTTTGTTTTGCATATTAATAACCATTGTCAAAAAACCTCAGTTCTATTTTTTGTGTGTATTTTGGGCTAGAATTTGTTGACAGGTAGTGCTGGGATGACACTAACATATGTGCTATAAGAGGAATTTGGACAGACACAGGAAGATGTATCCTTCTCAGGTTCTTAAAATGAACCCATCTTTCTTTTCCTTCACACAGCCGGAGCACAAATGAGATGAATCTGCATGCTGGTGCCTCTGCAGGGCATCTCTCAAAGGTCTGACAGCCCCTAGTACTCTATTTCTTGGCTTCATGTTCGGAAGGGATGGAGAAGGAGGAGAGAAAAAGGTTGTTTTTGTACTGTCCTCTGAACATCTGCTTTCTCTGAGAGAAGCAGCCTCAGTGATTTCAGCCTTCAGGGCTCCAGGGATCTTTGCAAACCAAGCATATCACTGATTCATTTAGGAAAAACATTCTCAAGGTTTTCAGTCTCCAAGGAAATACTTTAAACAGGCAGCTTATTCTTGGTAGACTTTTTTTCTGGCCTTAAGACACTTATTTTCTTTTAATATTTTGTTGAACATTAGGTTGTATTCCTTGGAGCACAGAAAGTTTCTTTTCAGTCTCCCAGACACAGGACCATAGGACCAGCCTCAAACTGCAGTCATTTGTTGTAATAGTGTGCCATAACCTGTTGGTCTCACGTAATAGTTTCATTCTAAGAAGCATCACTTATTAAGCCAAATACTGGCCTGGGAAAAGCAAATATAAAAAATGTTAAGTCACAGAAGGTAGTTGCTTTCAGTGGATAAGTTATATGTACAAATAAGTTTAATTTTAATACATGAATGCACTGTTTGACCTGAATCTACACATGGAAGATTAAACCTTAACTTTTTTTTATAATAGCTAACATTATTGGACTTTTGGCATCCCGTGATTACAACAAAACAATATTTTTTTATAATGCATGCCCTTGCTATATATCACAATCCTGTCTGTGTCTTCCTCTAGTTTTCAGATTGTCTTACTTTGTGTTGTCCTAGAAAACAAAGTCTGAGGGAAAATACCAAAATAATTCAAATGTGACTCAGAAGTTAGTTTTCGATACAGATTTCTAATAGTAAAAGGCAAATATATTGATACTCTGCGCCTTCTGGTTCCTACCTTTGAAGAGGCGTACTTAAAACCATTAGAGTTGCTTATACTGCTAGGGATTGGAAGATAAAAAGGCTTTTCTCATTTATTTCAAGTATATATGTATATGCATACATTCTGTGCATACTCAATTCAAAAAATCAAAACCCACACATGCATTCAATTCCCAGTGTTCTTGGGAAGCAAATATAACACTCCCTGCAGAATCCTGTTTGTCTGTGATTGGACTGACAAGCTGTGAGCCAAGACTTCCCAGCATGTGATACTAGGGAAGCAGGTTTCTCTTTTCAAGCCATAAGTTTCAGCACTGCGCTGTATATCTATCAAAGCTATAAATACCACATCCACGACCCCTAGACACCAGTTTCTTTCCTTCCAGTCTGTCATCTGAGTCTCTGTACCTATAATCTCAATTTCCTGTAACTATGCTCAAGATTCTGCTTTTTTTGCCTTAAGGTAATTTTTCTTTAAGCCCAAGTTGCACCAAAATATGACTGTTAACACACGGCAGTGCTGTGTTATTGCCATAAGTGCTTTAAGACTAAAATTTTTATCTAATGCAAGTTTGAATCCACTGTGCTGTATCCTACCTATGGTTTAGGCATACTAGGCGTAGCCTCGTTGATATTTACCATCACTCTTGCATGTTTCTACTTAATGAGATTCTAGCAGCAAAGATCTTCAATATCTATATTTTTCTATGAGACTAGGAAATGTTCTATAAACCAAGATGATATAAATGTCCAATCTGGTCTTATCACAGGGGAGTGGTGGAACGTGGTAACTGCAGGTCACTCATGATGGATCCCAAGTGGGACAAAACACTTTTTTTGTACTGAGGTTGTTGTCTGGCAGGCTGTGCCAGAGTGTGGCTACTAAATATAATAATTCTTTGTAAATATGGGTTTTTTCTTATGATCAGTATTAAACCGACATAGGCAAGGCTAAATTCTGTCCTCTGTTGCCAGAGGAAACTGAGTAAAGGAGGTGAGTTGTGAGATGAAAATATTCTCTGTGAGCGGTGTGTAAATGAAGTTCACTCAGCAGTGGTCTTCGCTGCTGTTGAGAGAGGAGCAACGTGTGCGTCTCATCCCTTGCTTGCAGATCTGTTGCTGAGATGTAGCATCCAGCAAACCAAAGGGATTCTGGTCTCGCTGCCAGTTATGCTGATGTCAGGAACTTGGGTTCTGCTACTGAAAAAGCTGAGTCTTCCTCCTCTTTGCCTAGGAAATATTAGTGATAGGAGATGGGTGGGGTTCTGTGGGAAATAGGCAGAAAAAGATGATTTGGCATCATTTGCTACAAATTGGCAAGTGTAGGCAAGACAAAGCAGATTGTAACCTTCAGTATTACAGTAAGCCTTTTCAGTGTATAGCAAGCTACATGTGCTTTGTTTTAAAAACATCTATTACTTGGATGCTGGAGAAAGGCCTAAATTGTGTAGTGGATGAAAATAAATTCTGAAAATTGGAAAGTAAAATAGGCACGATGAGAACATGACTGAAGATATAGAGGTCCTTTGCCAGAAGAGGTTAAATGATTTTTATATTTTTTGTAAATTCTGAGGAGAAAGGGTTAAATAAAAATGAAGGAATGTATGAGATGAAGTTTCACTGTATTTAATACGAGTCGTTCCTGGTTTTTATATTAATTTCCTTTGATCTTGTCGAAGAAATCTAATTCAGTGTTTGTTACTTTGTATTACAGGCTTTTTTTATTTTTCTTTTAAGACATGTCACTGACTTATTTATGCATGTTTCATATCACAGTATTTTTTTTGTGCTACATTTTCACATCATTCCATACTTTGTGTAGTGTCTTGAAATAACAGAGGAGCCTGTGATGCAGACTGAAGATGGTGACAATGACAGGAAGATGCAGAACGGTCTAGTTTCTGAGAGGGTCAGTCAGGTAGGACCCTGCTCTGGGTACATTATGTTACAGTACTCTGTTCTCTGCATGCCTTTAAAAATTCTTATTTTCTTAGAACACAAAGTCTTTTGCAAACAAAGCATACTTTTCTTGGTATCCTATTTTGCTTTCAACTAATTGTTATCCTAAAGAGTTTCTGAAAGCTTTTTCCTATATTTTTCTGCTGCTAGGGTTTTGCAGTCAGGATAGCTTTTGTTCTGGTCCTTGTTTTCTCTTGTTTCAGTACTCATAATCTTCCTTAATGGGGATGACAGAAAGTCCCTTGAAATTGTGTTTCTTTACATGCACACACACACACTGATCTTCAGCCTCCATTGCAGGCAGGCCTGTAGTACAATGATTTACTTGCTGCTATGGTTGAGGGAAAAAATACTGTAGATCCTTCTTCAGGGTTGAAATACTGGATGTGTTGGTAACTTGTTGACTGCATTTTCATACATACAAGAACCTGCTGTCCTTTTATTCTGTCATTCAAAAACAATGTAATATAAATCATGGAATCATAAAACAATTCAGGTTGCGAGGGACCTTTGAGGATCATAGAGTGCAATTAAAGTTGAACCTTTCTGGTTTAAAAATTATAACATGCTAAAATATGACACAAAACAGAGCATTTTTATAAGTAATGTTGAAGAATAATGATGTTCTTTTCTTTCAAATTTGTAATTTCTGTGTTTTCTCTGCTAAATAGGTATGCCTTCAAGTATCTTTGGATTTTCCTTCTGAGCTGGATAAACAGGTAAGTGATGTATTGTAACGGTTCTCTTGAGTCTTAAAACATCTTAATCTCTCACTGCTGATGTTTACTGATAGAAACTATCCAAATGAGCTCGGTATAAATTCTCATGGAATCATAGAATCGTTTAGGTTGGAAAAGACCTTTAAGATCATCCAGTCCAACCATTAACCTAACACTATCAACTCCACCACTAAACCAATTAAGGGTAGAGCAGCAATTTCATGTTTCCTGGCTTGGTGGCTGGATTATTTTTTAATGAAAGTAAAAACTAGGAATCATTAAGGTTGGAAAGGATCTCTAAGATCATCATTCCACTCATCAACCCAACACCACCATGCCCACTAAACCATGTCCCAAAGTGCCACGTACTCCACCACCTCTCTGGGCAGCCTGTTCGAATGCTTGACAACCCTTTCTGTGAAGAAATTTTTCCTAATATCCAATCTAAACCTCCCCTGATGCAGCTTGAGGCCATTTCCTCTCATTCTGTCACTTATTACTTGGGAAAAGAGACCAACACCCACCTCACTACAGCCTCCTTTCAGGCAGTTGTAGAGAGTGATAAGGTCTCCCCTCAGCCTTCTCTTCTCCAGACTAAACAATCCCAGTTTCCACAGCCGCTCGTCATAAGGCCTGTGCTCCAGCCCCTTCACCAGCTTAGTTGCCCTTCTCTGCCAAAGCTCCAGCACCTCAATGTCTTTCTTGTATTGAGGGGCCCAAAACTGGACACAGTATTCCAGGTGTGGCCTCACCAGCGCTGAGTACAGGGGGACAATCACCTCCCTGCTCCTGCTGGCCACACTATTCCTGATACAAGCCAGGATGCTGTTGGCCTCCTTGCCCACCTGGGCACACTACTAGCTCATATTCAGCCGGATGTCAACCAATACCCCCAGGACCTTTTCTGCCGGGCAGCTTCCCAGCCACTCTTCCCCAAGTCTTTCATTGATTTAAATGGGGTTTGAATTACTGGAGAGAAACCATGTAGAAACTTCCTAGGACATGTCTACAGTGTTGCATACAAAAAGTTGGCAGTTTGTAAATACTTCAAGTTGCATCCTGTCCTGGCCATCAGGGCTTACATCTGGAGACCCCAGGACAGAATTGGGTACTGTAAAGACAGATGATTCAACAGTGAACTAATAAAAAGTTAGCTGCAATCTGCAGGCAACGTTCCAGAAGTTTCATACCTCTTCATAAATGAAGACCTTCAGGGAAATCTGCTTACTACTATCATTATGAATTAATCATATGAAATAGATGTTAATTAGTTTTTCTATTAATAAATAGTAAGTGAAATGTCTGTGGATGCTTCTTAATGTAGATAAAGAGCATCAGGAATTACAAAACCCGATTATGAAAAGATTACAGCCCTGAATTTATTAGAACATTGCATACCTGTGTAGTAAGAAAATGTTTGCAATTTTTTAACAGATAACTCCATCAGGCTATTCAGACAGTTTCTGCAAAGATAGACAATATAGGAGTCCAAATGAGCCTCAGTTTGAACATGATACAACTGGCAAACACTTTGGCAGCATAGGAATGAGTGAACATGAAACAGAAGATAACTTGCTCACATCTCTTTTAAGAGAAAATAGAACATCTGTACTGGAATCTACGTAAGTACGAGGGATATGCACTGCTTTTGACAGTATTTCTATTTGAGAAGAGAATAAAGTAATTTTGCTAAAGTGAATTTAGATAATGGCACTGTCTAATTTACCTGAGAGATTGGCAAGGCGCCTTCAGAGCCATTTTAGTCTATCATGCAATTAAGTAATGAGGAAACATACCATCAGTAGAAATCCTTATGAAAAACCCATTACAAGAAAAAAAGCTCCTCAAAGTTACTGATATATGGAGCTTTACGGTAGGGAGTAATTGTTTTCAGGATAGGGTCTAGCAGTGTTAAAGGGCTCAGATGATAATAGGTGGTACTTCTTTTTCAAAAAATAAAAATATCTGAGAGCACAGGCCAGTGAAAGGTGGTGTGGTGGAGGGGATGATGCTATACGGCCATAAAAATTGTATGTGTAAGGAACTGAGGGTGGAGGAAATGGAGTTACAATGACTCTTTCACAGGGTTAATTTTGAATGGACGTTACTGTACACTTTTTGGTCTTTGCCATTTTATCCGAACTGTTTGGACAGAGGTTTGCTCTCTGTCAGCAGTTTAGGGAGTCTGTGCCCATGTCCTGCAGTTGACTAATTGGTCATTCCAGTGTAATCACTTGTTGGACTGTGCTGAGATGAACCATGCTGTAAGTACTTAGGTCACTTTTCATGCAGGAGAAAATAGTTGTGTAACTAAATCTGTATAAGCCCTAGCATAACCAATGTTTTTCAAGTGTGTGTGTTACACTATGGTTTGATCAATTCCCAGCTGAAATGCTCATTTCCATAGAAACTGGACAATACCAAGCAAGAAAGGAGTGTATAGAAAACCCACACCCTGACTAGTTTTGTTTCCCCCAGTTTCATGTTTACACTACTTAATCTCCTGGTTGAAAACTGAGCTTTGCTGGAGATCATTCTCATTTTCCTTTCCTAGTTCCTTCCACACTGTGATGACTATGTACAACATTATGGGACTTTTTTCAGGGCCCACCAGTGCTGCTGTTTCAGCTAGCTATAGTGGTTTCTGGAGAGCAATGGGAATGACCTACCATATATGTTGTGCTCAGCAATGCTGGTAGCAGAATACCCTGTGGAATTACGCAAGTCAAATCCTGTTTTCTGTGTTCAGCAGATTTACTCAAGCAATTCTGTATTTTTACATTACGATTTAAAACTCTTCAACACACATAAATGGTCTTAGTTGTCAAAGCACTAGTTAGTGGTAAATGAGGAGATACTACTCTCTTAGAAGATGAATAGATAAGATTGTTTTATTTGTTAACTTTAATTAAAAAGCTGCTAATGAGTGATTCCAGCACCATCACATTTAGCACTCCAGTGTGTAATCTTTTCTGTGTTCAAGTACAAACGACCAGGTTGACTGGTGATGAGCCTGTACTTTGCATAACTTAATTCTCACTACTGACATTAGATGCCAGAGAAGGACATAAAAAACCTAGTTAGCTTCTACCATTTCAAACGCTAGCTATACAAATGCAGTTGTTTTAAATGCTGGTTTATATGTTTAGTGGCACAAACAGCACTCTATTGGATTCATGAAATCATCTGTAGAATTTGAGGACTTGCTTATGCTTTAAATGTCTCTTATTTGGCTTCAGTTTCACTTGAAACATTGCTTTCCGAACTGTTGTCCATGGACCACTAGTAATCTGTGGGGTAGTTTGGTCATCTGTAGTGAGCTGTTTTTGCAGGCTTTTGGCTGCTTTCTAAGTTTCCATCTTCCCTGTTACATTAAAAATACATGGAGGTATAGATTTTCAGGAAAACTCAACATGTAGAATCCCCTGTGGTTTTGGGAGAATTTTATTTTTAAGGTAGTTAAATTGGAGAGTAAACTTTTTTGAAAATGCATTCATATTTCTTATATTGCTGTGTTACGTAAGGAATTGATTTAGTTACCAGAGGTTTAGTGCCTCTTTACGAATGGGGAGAGGGGTGGTAGAGCATATATGGTCATAAATATGAGAAAAGCATTGATGAGAGAATTTATGATATAACTCATGTTGTGAAAGGGTTTCAAAAACTCTCTTCGTTACTGAGTAATTCATTAGTGAGTAAGACAGAATCTGCTGGGAATTTAAACTATCTCGAGACACTGCAAAAGAGTTTCTTAGAAGGTATTCTTGTTGCTTAAATAAAAATCAAAATTTGTGCCTTTTCTTTCCTCTTTCCTGAGTATAGCAGAGAAGAACAAATGAAAATTGTAAATGAACTGTTAGATCATCTGAACACAACTGAGGAAGAATGTTCAAGTGAAGATATAGAGAAAAAGGATGAAAAAGATCTTAGGCAAATGATTATTCAACTAAGAGCTGAACTCAAACATTTCAAGCAGGTCAATAAATTCTTAAAGCAGCAAGTAGAACTGAAACCAACTTTTGATGGAAAAGAGAAACTTTATCCAGATGCAATGCCACAGATTAATAAGGATATTGAGTTGTTAAAAGTGGAATTGAAAGATGCAGCTACACAAACAATGACTTTAGAGAGTAATGTCATGAGATTCAAACATGAAGGCAAAAAAGAAGCCTCAGAAGAAAACCCAAAATATTCAAGATTAAATGCAGAAAGAGAACATCAACAAGAAAATGTGTATAAGAAGGGTGAACAGCATGAAAGACTTTTTTTTACAAGGAGAGCAAATGAAGTAAGTTTATTTAAGATTCTCTTTTTGGTACTTAGGGAATAGATGTATAAAAGAGAGAAATATGTTTCATTTCTAATAGTAAATCTTGCTTTTGTGTAATTTTTAAAATTAGAGAAAGAGATGTAAGACAAATGTATTTTAGATAATTGTTCTTAATGTTCAGAGCTTTTCATCGCATACTTCAGTGTGCTTTAGAACATTAATTAATTGAATTTCAATCCTCACCGGGACCAGATACTAGTAAATATTATAGCTGTTGGAAAAAGAGATAGTTTATAGCATAGTGGCCTGATTCTGTACTACCTTATATCTCTGCATAGAAGTTCATAATGTGCAGAACCAGAGCATTCTGAACTGATAGCTTATTAAGTCTAAATAGCAAATGCATTCTAGAAAACTGAAGACTTGCAGAATGTCTGAGAGCGTGCTGGTGAAGAGTTAATGGTAGATTTGAACAAACTCGAATCTTAATTTTAGGCTTTTATTAACATCTTATCATTATGTCTTGCTTTTAGAGAAGCATGACCAGTAGTACTCTATAATGTGGGGGCAGTTCTTCATATCTGATTGGAACCTAAGCGCACAAAATCTGTTTTGTGAGTACAGACATAATTTCCTTGGGCCAGATAAGTTTTCAAGTCTTTTATATGCAGGCAGTCTGTGATCCCAAACAAAGAGGTGGGAAAGCAGTGTCTACTAAAGAGTTCATGTGTATTGTTTCAGTAGCAGTTATAGAAGCAAAGTTGAAAACTCTCTGAAGATCTTTGCTCTTGCAGAGCAGACAAAGGAGAGTATTGCTTTTGATTTTGTGTACTGCTAATAAAGAATGTTGTAGCATTTTCTGCATAGAATGGTTTCCGTGACTTTAGTGATTAAGAGATTTCTGTGAGCTAGCAATTGGGAGCAACTTGTTTTTATTGTGTTTTGTCCTCGTAGGATTCATTTCACTGAAGGAAGGGGCTTGTAAACCAAGAGATGGTGATAAGACTTCGGTCTGTACAGGCACGAACATTTCAGTATACTTTGGGATTTTAAGGGAAACATTTTGGCGTGCACGGTTGGTCCCTGGTGAACGCCGTAGAAAATTCATGCCAGTCTTAGCATTAGGTTATGATACCACTGACGAATCAAAACCTAAGTAACTCACAAAAACTATGTCTTGTTTCACCAAACAGTTTACATGTAATCAAAATCTATCAGAGTATCTGCAGGTACATTCTTAGTCTTACAAGCTTTCCTTATTGGCAGTAAATTTTCTACCTTTAAAAAAAATTGTGTTTGGGGAGGAAAGAGGGTAATAATGGAAATGTTCTTGGGCTATTGTTAATGTTCGTAGTCTATTTGGCATTTGGTCAGTCGTGTTTGGCAGGCTGGCTGGTGTGATAGCTGGTCCTGCATCTTTAGGATGCCTTGGCTAGTCTGAGACAGAAAGGAGCAGATGTGCTTTCTCATTTGTGGTGGTGCTATCCAGGGCAGCTGACTTCAGGAACACATGAAGAGATGAGGGCAGGTGGAAGTCAGGAAGAATAAAGATGGGGTAGTAGAGGGGGAAGGGGTTTGAGGACCTAGCTGGTCTATTAATGAAGATCTGCTTGTGATGGCTTGCTTAAGAACACTAATGTCTTTGAGTTGCTGGTCTTGCTTCTCAGGAATGAAGGACAATCTCTCTGAAGGCAAGTAAAGGCCTGTCTGCCCTCCACAGGGAATACTTAGAGTTCTTTCCGCAATTCTTTTTTTTTTTTTTCAAATTCCCGTTTTCATTGAGTTTCAGTGTACTGTTTTGATTCATTATTTTCTAGATTCCTCTCTAGTTTAATCAGTTGCAACCTCAGTGCAATCTCTTTTTGCTTTAAAAGCTTTCTTGTTTGGACTAATGCAGTGTATCTTTGCTTCTGAATGACTTTTATAAATAATTTTATGTAGCCAGCTGAACTGGATTTTGGTTAATCTGGGTGACGTATATGTACATACAACAGCCCTGAGAGAGCTGGAAATCGTTTTGATGTTATTAGTGCAGTTTAGTAAACCTAGCAGGAAGTTCATCCTGCCTGGATTTATTTTTCAGCCTCCAAATGATATTGTATTCATGTGTGTACAAAAGGAATTGAGTATGTCATTAGGAAAATGGAACTTGCTTTTTATTATTTCAAATTGTGTAAGGGCTATAATTGCTAAGAAATGAATCTGGAAAGGTATTTCAGAATACATTGGGTGGTAAAAGAAATTACGGGACTTATGACACTGGTGGAGCAAATGAACAGCAAAAAAATAAACTAAATCTATCTGAACATGCCATTATTGATTTTTATTATTATTACACACAATTCCATAACTCTCATCAACATATAGCATGTTTTTATCTTTTTGGAGATGGCACTATTTTATGCTCTGTGATTTAAACAAAGACACATTTTATGCAGTCTTCAAAAGGTGAGAGGCTAAAATGTAGTGACTTAAGAAATTTAACTTCTCCCCCCAACTCCAATGACAGAATGTCTGTTACAGTAGGAAATGGGAATCCTGCAGAAACAATTTATAGAGTGTATGGGTGAAGAAGCTATTCTTGTTCACAAAGAATTTCTCTATGGCAGAATAAATTTCCTCTGGAGCTGATGCAAAGCTATGTTCCTTTGCTCAAAGATATGAAAGAAGGCTGGTACAAAGTAGGGCCTGTTGGACAGAGGCAAAAGGAAGAAAGGAAAATACATTCAGGAATTTGTGAAAAATTAGGAGGATCCCCAATTAAAAAAAAAAGATTTAAGGGAAACAGTTACTGGGCTGTCAGACATTTATGATATAACTCAGGAGACTGGGAAGTAGCAGGTAGGGAGGTCAGTTTGGGTGAGAAACTGTTTTCCTAGGGCAGACATAAATTCAGGGTTAACTAATACGCCTACTGATTAAAAGCCTTTGCTAGTCAATGGTGAATTTGCTGTCTTGCTTCATGAATTGGAAGTCATTCACTGTGTGGCTGTGGATGCATAAGCAGCACTTACACAAAATTGAACCAGTGGGGTAGGTTTTTTTCTCTCTGAATTTCCACTTTTTCCATGTTGCAAGGGTGTTGCAGTCTTATTTTTAAAACTATTTAATGTGGCAGCTTACTGATCCTAACTGGAAAATTTTTATTCTTCCTGGAATATATGTATTATATACTTCCCTGGAAGTATAAAACTTCCTTTACTTGACTGTTACATGCAAGCTACCCACTCCCCATTTTATTCCGTGCCTTTTTCAGACTGATTCTGCCTACCTGCCCAAGAAGTCCCGTCTGCCCGTTCTCTTAAAATCATCCAGACCATTAGGAAATGTGCCTTTGAACTCCTGTATGCAGAAGTCAGATTCGGAACTGCAGCGTCATACCGGGGTACCTTATGAAAGCCTGAAAGCATGTGAAGTACGAAACAAACAATTTCAGCCACAAACAAATGGGGAGTTATTATTGAATGAGTCTGTAACTGAAAACCTTCAAGAAGAGCCTGCACAGGAAAGCACATCACTGAGAGGTAAATAAAGAGCAGACATAATGACTTGTAATGCTACTTGAAATAGTGGCTTCTTGTCTTGTAGTAGAAAGTAAAAACAGATCATTTTTAGATATGTACAATGCTGCTTAATCTTACGATTTTCTTGGGTAGGCAAATATATATAGATCTTGAAAAACACCTTTTTTTCTTTTATCTTTGCTGCTAGAATGTAAAACAGCTTTGTATGGAATAGCAAGTGCTTTGTATACATGGCATAAAGTATACAATAAATGACAGTTTCACAGGGTGCCCTCACATGCACACATTTATGTCAATGTTTAGGTAAATGAAAAATTCCCTTTCTATGATGCCAAGTCTAATGAAGACTAGACATTAGAAAGAAGTTTTTTACAATGAAGGTGGTCAAGCACTGGCACAGGTTGCCCAGACAGGTGGTAGAGGCCCCATCCCTGGCAACATTCCAGGTCAGGTTGGCTGGGGCTCTGAGCATCCTGATCTGCTTAAAGCTGTCCCTGCTCACTGCAGGGCGGTTGGGCTAGATGACCTCTAAAGGTCCCTTCCAACCCAAAGCATTTTGTGATTCTATGATTCTAAAACTGTCTGTAATGGAGACAGGAGAGTATAAAAATACTGTATTTGTTTATGCTGCATAAATAAGTTTTTTCCAGTATTCCACTGATCAGTCAAGTCATCCGTGTCTCTTTCCAGCGTGGCTAGGTTCATTTAAACTCAGTTGTTGACAAAGTACCTGGATTGGCAAAGTATGACAAATTGTAAGGTAGAGAACAATGGGTATTATATAAAGTTTGGAGTGGTAAAAAAATAAAAATACGCTTAGCAGTTACATTAAAAACTGAGTAGAGATGTAAAGGATAGGTGGGGGAAAGAAGAGGTGTAAGTATAAGAAATAAGATTCAATCAAGTAGCAAGAGAGCCACTGTCAAATGCAGAGGTTGCAGAGGCTTTGTTGTTAATGATAACGTTATTGTGATAAGGGACATGGCACAATGTAATATGGCACAACTTTATTGTAAATACTCAAGTTGATAGGACTATAGCAATTAGTTCTGGTAGGTGCAATGCAGAATTCTGAGAAGGGAAGTACTTTTGAACTGGATCCTGAAATGAATCAGAACCTGTTAGGACTGCAGTCCTGTGATTTCCTTTCCACACTGATTTCTTTACCCTGGATAAAACAGTTGTACTGCACACTTAGTAATTCCGAGACTTGATGCAATGGGAGATAGCAGAAGATTAGTTTATGATCAATGCTTGCATTGGAGAAACTTTTTAGCCTTTTCTGTAAGCTTAACATAAAACATTTAAAAATGCACTAAAAATTGATTAACTGTTACATTACAAAGGGGACTTGCAAATGTTTATCTCCATTTGTTGGTAGGAAGCCTTTGCAATTCACATTCTTAGTAGTTACCCTTATAATTAGTTCAAGTATTTTAAAAATATGTGCAAATACTGTTTCATATGACCAGTAATGTTTGTATTACATTTTCAATAGCTGTTCTTCCTTAGATGATTTTCCTGTTCCAAATTGTCAGAGAACCAGGTTTGGATTTGTGGGGTGTTTCTTTGGGTTGACTTTTTTTTTTTTTTCCAACAATCCCCACTTAATTTTTTTTTCAGTCACTTACTGATTTCTGTTTTACCTTCCCCCACTATTCTCCAGTTGACTCATTGCTCAAACTGGATAATAGTGAGGCCCAGGTGGAGTTGCAAGGTGTTGATCTGGGTACAGGGGGCAAGAATGAATATGCGATGGACAAAAAACAGCAAAACTGTCAAGGTAAAGCATTTATGTGGTATAGTATAAAAAAAAAAGAAATTTTAAAACTCGTGTTTCTTCTGAATGTGCAAAATTGTAAATTACTGCAGGTAATTACCTCCCTTGCCATTATTTGTGGGTTTTAAATTTCATTTTCTTGGCTAGTATGGATTAATTGCTCTAAGAATCCAAGCTGGTCTTTTAAGGGGTATGCTTTCAGAAGGGCCACAGGGATTTATGAGTCTGGTTGCCAGTAAAAATAATGAGTTGTATGCCTAACTCTGATCTCTATTGCTAATGTCCTCACTGCTGAACTCTTCTCTGAATTAAACGTTTGTTACTTATTGCTTCTGCATCTAGTTATGAACTATTGGAATGAAGCAATTGAGTGATAGAATTTTGCTTATCTGAATTATTTGAAGGCATTCAACTAGGTGGAAACCTAATGGAATCGTTCAATGAAAATGTAAATAGGCTTAATACCGTGTATTACGTGTTTCTGCATCATCCATTAGTATTTTTCAGGAGGGCTTGAATAACCTGGTTAACATGTTGTGTATAGAGTACAGAGAGATATGGCCAATTTTGTAATCCTCTGTCACGTCATTAATTTCATTTGTTTAAGTAGTTTCATTGAAGCTGGTCAGTTGGTTTGCAGGATCGTGCTCTATGTGTGGCCTTTGTGTGGACACATAGGTGCACAGAGAGCTTATTGGTTCTCCTTTAATTAAAGGGCAGTGTTTCATTAAAAACTATAACCAGTATTCTAATCAGAAATATTTCTTCCCTAATATCTGTTTTTATTTCCAGTTTTTGTTATCTGGAACGTTTGCGTGAAATCAGGATTGCAGAGTTTAAGAGTTCATTTAGTATCTGGTTTTTTTCCACCTCGGTGCACAACCTTCTTTGACATCTGTGTTACTGCAGCAACCGACTGGTAGAGAAGGAGGAGAAGCTAATGAACTTAAGTGTTTTTATATGCATTTCCTTATTCAATGTGTCTTCTTGAATTCATACACAGGCATTTTCTTGGAAGCATTTCTGTCCTGTGATTCTGTCCCCTTTGGAATGACATACATAATGGTGTGCAGCAATCTGTATACTGCAGAGAACATTGTCTAGCCTTAATTTCAAATATATTGATATCCCAGTATTGCAGCTTCAATTTTTTCCGGCTTTTAGGTTATATTTGTTTTTATTCTCTTGTGCTTGGGCTTGACTTGGGCCTTTGTCAAGGCCGCCCCCCTGGCCACACCCCC